AATATAATGTTTGTCATAAATAAATAGTGGGAATAATTTGTATTACATCGTATGAATAAAGGTCTGACCGCTTTCTTGGGGATATTGCTGTGATTGGTTTCCATAAGAAATTTGACGGCTTTCCGCATGGAGTACATTCTCCAGGTGCCCCACGGGTTTGTGAATCTGCCGTTAACTTTGACAGACTTCGGTAATTCATTGTTCGTGTCGACCCTTTCCATTACTGATAGCCACCCGATGGTCACAAATGGACTTATTTCTGACGACCTAATAATAGGATATTTGGAAATTACTAAAATATATGAACTGTACATTTCATTTGTGGTAAATTTATCATCAGAGTCAAGGACATACAATGTCTTTATACTGTTCTGTAAAATCTTATAATTATTAGATGTTGTAAAATGTAAAATTTATTTTTAAAAATCCAACAAAACTAACGACAACCCACTAGGGTGGATTCTTATATATGGATTAAAAAATCAATCCCTTATTGTAAAGTGATAGATTTCTCAGTATTAATATTAGTCAAAAGCGTCAATGCCATCATTACCAATTAATGTGCAGTATAATAATGCTATTAATAATAACACATACAAAATAAATGTCTGTTTTTAACGTAAAATTATGCAATCAATATTATTAATTATAGTTTTATAATCAATATTATTATAATAATGAGTTTCTCAGAAAAGGTTTCTTTAATAAATAGTTTTAGTATCACGATTTTAAAGTTAATTTATTTATATATTAGTTAATTTTAATTTTTTCATATTTAAATTTAGACATAATAAAATAAGACTATAATTTATAATTTCAAATAAATCATGTTAACAATGCAACCAATAAAGTTAATTTTAATTTAATTATTAAGCAATTACAACAGTGACTTTCAATAAAAATATGTTTAATTAATTGTTTTATCACGATTTTAAAATTAATTTAAATGTTTATTGAATAATTTTAATTTGTTAAAAAATTAAAAACCCCATGTTAAATCTATGGGAAATGCAATTTGACCGTCATCACTGATGACTCATCAGCATCATTAATGACGGGAGAAGAGGGGGAGGGGGCACAAAGTGATTTTAGTATATACTATCCTATTATAACGAAAAGCGTATAAAAATCAAATTGGTCATAATAAACTGTGCATATTACAAACTTATTATATGTTTGTGATATTTTTTTGGATAATTATTGTTTTATTGATTAGCAATAAAAACTTCTGAAAGTTGTAAAATAGTCATAATAAGTTTTAGCAATAAAAATGTTTTAAATTTTTAATTTTCTCGAAAGTATAATATAATTATTACATATAATACAATGTTTTGGCGTAAAGTTAGTGTTAAGAACAAAGCAGTTTTAATAACTGGTATTTGTTTTAAACATTTTTACCATTTATTCTATATTATCGTAAAATATGTACTAATTATACTTGTAATAATTATTCAGTATTATATTATTTATTTTTGTATCATAATAAATATCAATATATTTTAACAATTAGGCTGCGATTCTGGTTTCGGTAATCGACTGGCGTTTAGATTAAATGAAATGGGATTCAGAGTCTATGCGACCGTTTTGAGTGACGCGAGTGTCGGCGCTCAGGACTTGACCACAAAATGCAAGTTTGCGGACAATATACATGTCATGGAAATGGATGTCACAAAACAGGACCAAATCGACAGATGCTATGATTTCGTTGACTCAGACCTACAGACCAGTGGTTGCCTATTGTGGGCGGTGGTCAACAACGCCGGCGATACCACCTGTGGTCACACAGAATGGGGTCCTTTCGATGTGATCACCAAAACGTTTGACGTCAACGTGTTTGGTGTTATTCGGGTGACCAGAAAATTTACCCCACTTATCAGGCAATCAACCGGTACGTGTGTGTGTGTGTGTGTGTGTTGAATAAAAAGCATGCAAGGTTAATCATTTTTGTATTTTGTTTGAAATAACAGGTCGTATCGTAATCGTGTCGGGTCTCGGCGGGCGTATAGTACTCGACAATCTCGGTGTGCACTGTATGTCCAAATGCTCGACCATTTTCTATTCGGATGCCTTGCGCCGGGAGATGAGGGCATTCAACGTGAATGTGTCGACTATAGAGCCCCTACTGTTCAAGACGGCGATGTATGAAATGATCAAACCGTCGCTCCATAGGAATTGGATGACAACCGATGACAGTATTCGCGAGGCTTATGGTGAAGAGTATTTTGCGCATCAAATGAAAGTACTGGACTGGGAGCTCAAAATAGGTATGGCCACCAAGCACCTGGATATTGTGGTGAATGATATGATCGATGCCGTGGTTAGTGTGAGTCCACGCCGACGGTATACACCCGTCAATAGGTTTGTGTTCAAAATAATCCCTCCATTCATACCATTAATCCCGCAATGGGTTGTCGACCGAGTGTTTTATGTTATGAATACTAAACCGGCGTCTGTCAAGAAAAGTATGGCGTAATGTTTTTACCTTGAATATAAATTATAACTACTATATTGTTTTGTACGTTAAACTAGAGACATTATAACTTATAGTTATAATTTATAAAATATTATAATATACCTAACTAAAGCCTAAAGTCCAGTGCTTTTTGTTATATTTTCTAGTATTATATTATATATGGATATTTATATAAACTTTATTTTAAATGTAGTTAATTTTTATTCTGCTAAATAATTGTTATTTTTTAAACATATTATTAATATTTTTTACAATACCAATATAATTGCTAGCATTAAAATAAAATCTTTAAATGTTTAATATTTAATTTAGATATAAACAAAATCGAGTAATAAATTATAAATTGACATATATTTTATCATAGCCCATAAATCATGCTAGCAATCCAACCTAGGTAATTTGTTAAATTCTAATTTTTTAGAATATTCAAATAATGGTTTTCTCTATTAAAGTCTATTTAATAAATTGTTTTATCATCACGATTTAAAAATTAATTAAAATCTATATGCACAAATTTTAATTTGTTATTGCATTATTTTAATATTTAAGGTTATATGTAAAGCATCCAAATCAAGTTATTTAACTATTTGATGCGATAGCCAAGAACTTCATGAGATTAAGTATGCATACGAATCATGTAATAAGGGTCATTTTAAGAGAGTTTTATTTTAACTATAAATAACTATTTGATGGGTTC